TAAACTGACCATTTTAGAATTTTTTACTGATAATTTCGATACTGATCATTTCAACTATTATACCGATCATTTCCAATTTTTTTACTGATCATTTCAATTATTATACCGACCACTTAAATGGTAGCCAATAAATTTTATTTTGTTTTTTATTGGTAGTTGGTACTTTAAGTTGGGTAGAATAAATCAGAGCGAGGCGCTAGCATTTCATAACTATAAAAGTTGAGCAATGCCATATGTTAAAAAGATTATCAACGTGTAAGGTTGAGAGGCAATTTTAGTGTTTAATGAGCAGTACTACCACTGTGAAGCAACGTAGCAGCAATCCCCGAAGACGCCACTGCAATTGCAATTTTTGATTGCTGTCGAATTTTAGCAAGAAGTAAGTTAATGATAAATGTCTTTCCTGTCCCACCTGGTGCATCGAGAAAAATTATTCCACCAGCTTTCCTATTGGTTCGGTCTAATATGGCCTTGTAAGCAGCTCTCTGGTCTATCATCAGTAACGGTTCATTCGCTAACACATATTATCTGTGAAGCACAATGGGCCGACCCCGTCTTGACCTTCTCCTGGACCCAAGGATGTGTCATGCAAAGGTTGGCTGCTTTAGCTCTTACAGGGACTGATGCATAGAGAACAAACAAACAAACTTTCTTCTTTATATATATTCTGGTGGCATTTTTTACTATTTCTAATGCAAGTAAGACAGATTAGAAATACTTGTCAAGAAAAGTGTGTTTTTAACAAAATTACCTTAAAAATTTGCTCTTGAAGTCTAATTAAAAAAATCGTAGTAATCTGTGAATCTTGTGATGTGTATATTGAATGTCAAACAGTTACTTGATTGTACGTGAGTAAGTTTATCAGTAGAATGGAGAGAAGATGAGAAACACTATAGCGAATATAGTTCTGATACAGAAAACAATACAGAAACACGCCTATAAATATGTATAAAATACATTGGAACATTCTGATAGCGTCATCGTATATTGTGATGTGAACATTCTGATGACGATATACTCAAGAAGTGTTTCATAGTTGCTATGAAAAACAAAGCAATGCAATGGGTTTTTCTAGTTAGTCTGTCTATTGACAACAAAGTATACATCATTTTTAAAAAATGTCCTTGCCGAGAAAAATAATATTTTATGAATTCTTTTGGAATCGATAAGGAAAGAAAGAAAGAGGAAAACCAAACTCTCTGCCTCTTTCCTTGTCCAGCTATTCAACAACAAAACCACTGTGCTGGTTTATTATTCATAGCAACGATCAGCACTTACTTCATCAGTAAGAAGAAAAGAGAAACCAACATATACTTCTTATGATGACGACATGAAAAATGTTGATATATCAAAAATGAACTTTTCCAGGAGCAGGACAGATTTTTAAAATTAAGAAAATGAAATGCATTCTCGAAGAGATGCCTTCTCAAAAGTGGAAAAATCAAGAGGCTGAGAGCTTCTTTTTCTCTTTCTTTCTTTCCTGGTCGATTCCAACAGAATTACAGAAAATATTATTTTTCTCGGCAAAGACTGAACATTTTTTAAAGCCGATGTATCCTTTGTTGTCGATAGGTATACTAACTGGAAAAAACCTACTGCGTTGCTTTGTTTTTCATAGCAACTATGAAACACTTCATCAGTATAAAAACAGAAAAAAATCCCGCATTTTCTATTCCTGTTGGAAGAAATCTACAATTCGATACTCAATTTTAAAGGTACACAGAAAACTTTTTTATCAAGCTACTGTCAAACAAATAAAGTAGAGCATTGAGTTTATTTCTGAATAACTTGAGATTAAAAAGAGGTAGAAAATGTGAGTTTTTGTATATTCTAAAGCCAAAACCTGGACGCAGCAGAAAACTGCGGCTTCTTCGAGAAAAAGGTACCATTTACACATCTGTTTTTGGAAACGTTTTTTGATGGACATCTCAGGAGTTGTCCTTTTTTCTTCAGTTAAGCATATAGTATGTAACATAGATTGATATATCTCCAACTGATATCACCTGACCCAACCGTATACGATTTATCCTTAAACTCTTCTGCCCCGTGCCTGCGTCGTCTTTTGGTGTTCGAAAAAAGTTTAGAAAGTAGCATTGACCACGTTTTGTACTTGCCAATGAGTTAGGAGGACAATGGTAGCTAACTCTGAAGTCTGTTTATTGCAGATTGTTCGTGGATTTTATCAGGAACGGCAAAAACAAAGAGCGTCAGTTAGATCCTCTTGTTTCTTTTCAATTACTAACATAATATGGCTGAATATTCTGACATATCAGAATCAATATCAGACGAAAAGATGAATGATAGTGGTGGTGGTGGTTGCGTTGTTGTAACTCTAACTGAAGAAATAATAAAACTTCTTCACTTAGAGGACAACGAAAATAAGGATGAAATTGTTAATGATTTATTAGAAAATGGTCGGGAAGCATTACAAAATCATCAACGTGATATTACTCCAGAAGTGTATGAAAGAGAAATGAATAATCAAAATAGTGAATTATTACAATTATTGAAAAAATACGTTAAACAACAATGGAAGACACAATATTGTTCGCTTCATGAATGGTTTCGTCTATTTTTAGAAGAACATGAAAAGGAAGATACATTTGTTCTATATGAAAGTATAGTACTTCGTACAGCTGAACATGGTAATAAATATATGAAACAGTGTCCTTTATTATCAATTGTGATACAATTATTATTTGACTCAATAGATGATGATTGTTTAAAACAAAATCCATCAATATTTGATGATCTCTGGATAACAATAACAAATAATGGTTTGAAATCAATACAAAAATATTCCAGTTATATTAGCGAAGAGGTAAAAAATCAACAAATAACGAAAACAAATAAAGCATTATTTATGGGTTTATGTGAATATTTCCGACAACCATTATTTAATTTGTTAAAGGGCAGCAAGGTGATAGATAGAGACAAGCTATATAATTTCACTTTGGATAACGTTGCTGAACATGGTTGGTTAGATGGTGTTGAACAAATAAGAAAAAAGGTAGCACCAGTACTTTTTGAATTGTTATTGCATAACATTAATTTATTCAGAGAAAATCAACAAAAAGAAAATATCATGTCAAAAGAAGCAACATCAAATGTAAACAATTGTAGTTTAGTATTCAATGCACCATTATCAACAGTTACTACAGTAACAATACTAGACCAAATATCTGATAATCAAAGTATATCAGGATCATCAATTAATTTCTCTCAACAACAAAAACTATCATCCTCTATTGATAACCTTCCATCAACAATGTTACAAAACTCAACAATATTATCAGCATCCACTTTAGCAACAGTGAAAGTAGAATCACAAATACCATCGTCATCGATTAATAATGAAATAGAAATTATTAAAACTTGCATAATTAATCGCTTCCAGTTAGAAGATTTAGTAAAAGCAGGTGAACTTATGTATATTAATAAAACATTAAAAAATATATCAGACAAAATCCTTGAAGATTATTGTAAATCTAAAGATTATTCAGCCTTTATTAACGATTGCTTAACACCAATTATGTATTTATTAAAACGTACACAAAATTTAGATGATTTTATTAAAACATTATTAATTCAGTTTGAACGAATGAAGCGAACAAATCGACAAATTACAATCAGAACAGAAACAGAGACAACAAATTTAAGTTTACGAATGTTTCTGCATGTTTTATTTATGAATTCTGATTTATTTTTACGTCGAGTTATTATGTCATTAATTAGTAAACGTAATCCAGTACCATTTTTAGAGCCAAACGCATTAAATTGGTCTCAAAATGAACCGTATGAATTTATATCGGATATTATCCACGTATGGAATTATTCGAGGCCAACAGTATTATCATTTGGTATCGGTCCATGTCAAGGTAAATCATCGTTACTAAATCAGTTATTTCAATCAACATTTGAAGAAAAAATTGATAATAGTTTATATTTTCAACAAACAATTGATATAGATTTTGGTTATTGTTTTAATCCCAAACGTTCATTAAATATTGCTGATACACATGGTGAATTACATAAATTGTTAGTACGTAAATTAGTTTCAATATTTGATGGATTTCTAATACATATTGACCAGATTTATTTAAGTGAACATCTTCTACTATTAGTGGAATATTTAGAATTATTACCAGAAGAAAAATTTCAAATGGTTTTAGTACGAGATATATCAAACAAAAGTGAAGAACAATGTTTATTAACAATTAAATCATTTATAGAAACAAAAGCATCTGAACATAATTTATCAAAGCGACTACATATATATCCATTAGAAAATGTTTCTAATATAAATGATAGAAAAATTATTTTAAGTATCGAAGATTTACGAGAAGAAATATTAACAAAAATGAATAATGAAATAAAAATAATGACAGACATTCATAAATCTCAAATCACACTTGAAACAAGAAAAGAAAAAATAGTTTTCGATATACAAAAATTATTCAAAAAAGATTATGTATCATATTTGACGCATATGGATGATATAATACAACCAATGAAGAACAAATTATTACAAAGAAATAAACATAAGCACGATCAAATTTTCCGTTGTATATTCGATTTCAAAAACAATGTAAATTAAGACAAAAGTTAAGAAAAATTGATTTTTATGGTACAGAAAGCGACGAGATGTTCAGAATAAACGAAGAACTATATCAGTTGGAATTAAATTCAAATGAAACAAAACCAACTAATGATGATTCTAATCCAACAGAATGTGGCAAAATATTTGATCATTTTGTCGATTTACTTAAATCAGAAAATATGTTGATGAGTTTAGATTTATTATCAGCTGAATTAAAATGTGAACGAACTGCATTGGGGGGTGATAAATTGGCTAGTGAACTTAAAATTGAAGATGCTTTCTTATCATTAGAAGTACTCTGGCGTAATTCTATCGTTTGCTATGATCATACACCATCTGACATACAAAATCTAATAAGAAAAGCTTATTATGAATTCATTGCATCTGGATTTCCATTTGAAATTATTGATGGCGATAATTTTCATTTTCAACATCAGTTTTTAGAAAAAGTTTTGAAATATTTTCAAGGGCAAAAGATTTTAGTTATTAGTATCATTGGTCCTCAAAATAGTGGTAAAAGTACATTATTAAATTATATGTTTGGTACATTATTTGATGTTCGAGATGGTCGCTGCACACGCGGTATTTATGGATCTTTGGTTAAAACAAATGTTGGCACCAAAATAGGAAAAACCGATTTTGATTACATTTTGTTAATTGATACTGAAGGTTTATTATCAATTGAAAAAGGTGATAAAGAATATGATCGTCGTTTAGTTTTATTCTGTTTGGCTGTATCACATTTAGTTATTGTCAATATGTTAAGTGATATTAATGAAGCATTAAAAGATATTTTAACATTATGTGCCGATTCACTGAAAGAACTGGGTGTTAATAAAGTAAATCAACCAAAAGTGCATTTTGTTATAAATCAAAAAGCGGATCCAAATATTGAAAATCATATAGCTTCGATCAATAAAATAATTGCTGATTTAAAAGAAAAAGAACTTAGTGAAGTAATTGATATAAGTACAGATACATTTCATACATTGCCATCAGCATTTAACAGAATACGTACTTCGACAGACACAAAACGTCCATGTTTTATTCGTACAGAACCAGATTTCATTGAACGCACTCAAGAACTTTGTGATAAAATAATACAATCCGCTAAGTCATGTTATGGACGAACCGATGAAATGTTTTCTGATCCACGTCAATGGTTGAATACATCAGTCACAATATTCGATACATTACAAAAATTTCCTGATTTAACTTACTTTAAAGATATTAATGAACGTCGACAAGATGATCAAATACGTAAAGATATTGGTGAACGTATATCTAGAATATTATCAGCAAATTCTCGTGAACAAATGATAAAAGAATCATTGGATAAAAACGAAGGTGAAATAAGACAATTATTTCAAGCTCAATTTCAAATACATCAAGATGACTTCGATAACGAACTTGAAAACACATTGAAAGTTGTGAAAGCGTCTGATCGTATTCGAGATAGAAGCAGACAGTTTTTAAAACGACAAATAACAGAGATAAGTAATGCATGGTGCGCAGCAGCAGTAAGAGCTTGCGATAGAAAAGAAATGGAAGAGCTCGTCAGTAACGGTGCTGGTGACTTACGTCAATTAATTGTTTTTAATATTATTGGAGGCGGGGAAGTGATGAATCATGAAAAGGCTACACAAAAATTTGAAGCGATGTGGAAAGAAAATCTAATCCGAATTAAAAATAGTTTTAATCCAATAGCACAATTGAGATCAGCAATCAAATTTGTTTATGGTAATTACAACATTTTTGAAAAACAATGTCTGCCGGCTAAAGAGTATGTTTTAATGGCATCTGATTTAATTGAATCATTAAGTAATCATAAGTCGTTAGAGGATGTGGCGAGAGGTGTAAAAAAAGCGTTTGATGAGAGCGCAGTTAATTTAAAAAAAAATGCTATAGAAGATCATCGCTCATATACAAACACCATATCTATTTCTTATACACAAGATACGATTTATAACTTCACCCATTTGGATACACAAATGTTGACCGATTATTATATGAGTATTCAACGAACTAATGAAGAGGCATCCGATCGGACTAAACATAAGAAGAATGAGCAATTCAAAACTTTTGTACAAAAAGGTTATGAAAAGGTAAAGAATACAGTATGTGGTACAAAGCCTAAGCCAGAGCCTCTTCCATTTAATTTTCGAACCGAGGTACGAAACCGAATTTATACTGAAATGGAGAATCCCCTTAAAACGTCAAACATATTAATAACTTCGAACCTATTTGACAAAATTATTGAAAGAACAATGGACGAAATCAATGGTGATGGTACGGAATATTGAGCAATTGAAATTGATCTTATACAAAAAATTGTTGGTCTAATTAATACACTGATTAATGATATTAATCGTGAATTGATTGTATTCGATTTATTGTTATCAATACAAATGAAATCATTAATTCATGAGTTAATATTGATTTTGTTAACAATATTCTATTATAAAGAACAGCAAGTTCATTTTAATGGACAATTGGAAACATTAGAAAAAGAAAAAGAAGGACTGTTAGGTTATTTTATTAGCATGGTTGTCCCAGATGCTTCCTGTGATAACGATGCGGCGAAAACTTTTACTACACAAGTTAAAAATGCTATACAAAGAAATTTAATGTCTAATGGACAAAAGATAATTTATGATGTTATACAAATACATCAAAATTTAAATCGTCAGTCTATCCAACATATTTGTGATGGTAAATTAGCTTCAGCTGGTGATGAATGGTTATATCGTTACATTGATCAACCAACAGAAATAATAATGGAAGAATTCCATTCATTATGGACTGATGTAGAGAAATCAATTAATCATCAGTTAGAAAGAGAAAAATCAACGTGGACAAAGGTATTAAATGAGTTTTTTGTCCGTATGGATTTGATGATGGAGGCTGTGAAAATAAAAGGCGCTGCCGCACAATATATTGATGATATTTTTAATACAACGGGAGGTAAAGCAGAAGAAAATTTGAAAAATAAAGGTCAATGTATGGTCATTCTGTTATATTCTTACCTTTCTGGAAACGATACACCAACATCTTATACAGTGTTTGACAAACAATATGCTTTAAAAGACGACGGTTTAAAATTGTTTGGAAAACTGAAGAGACCAACTCCGGCTCTGGCTACTCTTATCGACACCATGACAAATAATGATCAAACTACAGATGGCCAAAAATCAAAAGGAACTTCGATGCGGATTGCTTCAATAAAAAATTTGTCTGCTTTTCTAAATAGTATATCAACGGTCAAAGTTCAAATCGAACAAGAATTTAGCGATATAGAAGTTAATTTTAAAAATTTTGATAAAGAACAATATTACGTTAAATTAAAAGATAAAGCACGTGGTTGTGTCGAAAAATGTCCATGTTGCAAAAGACCGTGTGATGCTGATCATAGTTCAATAAAAGCTAATGCAGGTATGAGTGAAAAAAAGAAAGAAAATATCTACGATTAACACTTGTATTTTGAAGCAGTTGAAAGTTCACTCTTGTATGGCCTACAGTTAGGAGTGATGAAAACTAGTATTAAGAATAGTTCGGTTGAGAATTGGCTGTGTCATCTTAAGGCTATTTAGGTTGCCAGTATATGCCTTATTAAAGAGTTTCTTTGGTAATTTTAATATTTAGTTGTTTAGTTTGTATTATCGTACGTAATATAACGGCATCATGCAAGAGAAAGAGACAGAAGCACTAATTATGAAAAGCATTCCATTTTCCGTTGTTTTCTCTAATATAAATTTTGAATGTTTTCTTCTCATCTATAGGAAGAAATATCATAGAAAGCTTACTCTTGACTATCGTGCAACTGTTTTGGTCTCTATTATTATTTGTTACTATTAATTCAGGGAGACTAACTTTGATAAAAATGTTAATCGTAGTTATTTTTCAACTCTTATGGTTTCCTTTGTTACTTATCACCGTTAATAATTCAGGTGGTGAAGACAATAAGCATCATTGTCAAACTGGTCATCAGTTACGAGCAATGGCCGGTTTTAAATTTGAAATATCGAATGAAGCATCATTAATTCAGTGTGAACAAATGACGGATGAAAAATTTATTGTAGTTAAAGGTACAAGAAAAAAATGGACTGAATTCAAGAAAGATTATCCGGATTGGGACTTTAACAAATCAATTTCACAAGATAAAAATGAATTACAAAGATTGCGCAGTAAATTTTTGCATGTATGGGGGAAAATTGGTCAACGCTTATGTGGTAAGTATGACATGGTATATGTAAAGCAAAATACGGAGCCAATATTACCAAAACCAACGCATTACATATTGTTATTGGACGGTTCTGGCTCAATGGGAATAAATAATGCTTGGACTCATTTATTGCAAGGTGTTAAAGAGTTTATTAAAATTCGAATTGATTCTGGTACAACTGACCGTATAACAATTATTGTATTTGATGATAAAGCAACATATGCTTTTTTTAACGAAGACTTGAAAAATGTTGATTTATCAAATATGAATTTTCCCAGGGGCAGGACGGATTTTGAGAATGCATTTCAAGCGGTTGTTAACACAATCGAAAATTTGAAAAATGAGAAGACGCCGTTAGATTATATGATTATATTTATGAGTGATGGTCAAGCGCCGTATCCAGCTAAACAACTTGAGACTCTTTTAACAATGAAAGATCGAATTAATCAGTTCTGGACTGTTGCGCTTGGAAAAGCTGAAATTCAAGTTTTAGAAGATATAAATAAAGAAATGGATGGTACATTCAAAGATATTAAAGACTCAGTCGATTTAGTTCAAGCGTATGCTGAAATTGCACACAATTAAATGTATAAAACATTTTCTGTATTATCCAGCCCTTCATCTAGGATATCCGGATCCATTACGAAGGAAACATTTGTCGAGTCATTTTCCGATGGATAACCCTCTTTTATTTATTCAAGAAACTTTCCCTTTATCGAAACACATATTATTTGATTGATTTTCTATCCCACTTTCACTAGTAATTTGGTACTTATTTTGTTTCTATAGATGGATTTTTTTCTACTTAAGGGCTCCCCGCCTTCAGAAAAAAACTTTTTTGTCTTACATCCAATTTTGATGCCACTTTCAGCAAATATTTATTATATCAAAGTATGGTTATCAAATTTGTTTTCCTCGCTACCTCTTACCGTTCAGGGGTTTTCCAGAGTCCACATTGAAAACTCCACCCTCTACTGCGGAGCACTTTTCTTAAATATACTTCAAGCTAGAGATCTCGGGTTGGTTTTATTTTAAACTAGACACCTAACTGCCTGAGCTGATAGGACCAGATTCTGATTTAGGCCTTCGTTGGTTTTCTAGAGATCCAGGATCCTGAAAACCCCGCAAAATTCGTTCGGATTTTCCAGTCCTTGATTTTATAGAAAACTGAGGCCTGATTCAAAAACCTGGTCCAATCAGCCCACACGGTTAGGTGTCTAGTTTAAAATAAAACCAACCCGAGATCTCTAGCTTTAAGTATATTTAAAAAAAGTACCCCGCACTGGGCTCGTTTGAACAAACAACGTGTTTTGAGAGAAAACGCTGTACATTCATTGGTCTGTTTTAGGTCATGTAGGAAAATGCTTGTAATTTTGAACGCAAGATCATACAGAGTTGTGCAGCGTCTTATTTTGATCAGAAAAGCCTGCTCTACAAATCTACATGTTCAGAAAAAATTTACTTGCGCAAGTGTCCAGAAAAAAATTATTATATTAAGATCCTGGTTTTCAAGGCTTCGAGAAAACTTGCTCGAAAACCACGAAAAACCAGTGCTAGGCCCAAAAGCGATACAGATTCTGAAGGTAGACGCTCTAGGCTACCTTTTTCATGTGCTTGTCTCCAGATTGATTTTTTGATACAAAAAGATGTCATTCTGAAGGGAGCTCTTAAACATGCATTGGTTTTAATTGATTCATTTTTATTTGTCTACTCAAGTATAAGATTATTGACATTGATGGACATCTACATGTCTAGCAGTGACAAGTTCCTCTCAATGAATTACATTGTTCAATATTCCTGTCAGGATATAAACATCTGATATTTTGGATCAGTCAGTTTAATAGCAGGCTAAACTATGAGTTCATCGTACGAGTGAATTGCATGGTCATTGCACCATTTATGAAAAAACTATTAAAAAAGACTTTTACGAACAAAAAAAGTCATCAGTTTTCCTCGGCGTAGTCGATAGCACCTAGGATAAAATTTTACCGACATTTGGATCAATCGTTGGGGAAACAAAATTGTTTATGGTGAAGCTAAACGAAATAATCCAAGGACCACTACGCTATATTGAACAAAGGTCAATTTACATTTCGAGATTTCTTGGCGTTTCTGAGATCACTGAAAAAAAGGAGAGTTTAATTCAAGCAGCCAAACCTCTTTTCTTCAGATAAATAAAGCCTTTCTGTTAATGTAGCCAAGTGTTATCCATATAACATAGTGCTAAATTCAAAACTCTACATCAAAACGAGGTAAGGCTCAGAAAACAGAGCTAAATCCAAGTAACGCTTAAGCCTTACCCTGTCTGGGGCTTCCGCCGCCTTTGTGAATATCTAAATGCACAAAAGTGACTTTAGGGTCTCACTATTTGATTTGACATGTTTTTCTATAAAAAATACCATTTAGACTATGACTACTGATAGTGACAATTCTATCGTGCGCATATGTATGCTTTCTTACTTGGTTATACAACTCTACCAGTCACATCGTACTTTTCTTTTCGTTCTTCTCCTCTTTCCCCCTTTAACTGTTTCGCGTGTCCGTTCAAGTCATATAAGGGTTTTATATTAAAATGTAATTGAATTTGCTCGATATTCAACCGGAGGAAAGAACTACGTTTTTGGTTTATGATCGAGTATCACATGATGGTTTATTACTGAAACTGGAAAGTGCTGGGTTATCTAAACAATTATTATTGTGAATGAAAAGCTATCTTAGCAAGAGGAAATTGTAACAGTTGTAGAAGGCTGGACATTAGATGAGTTACCGATATCCTGTAGTGTACCACAAGGATCGGTTCTGGATCCTTTGCTTCTTTTAATATATATTAATGATCTACCAAATTAACTGGATAGCTCTGCTCTATGCAGATGATACATCACTATATCGGGAAGTTTCAGATATTCAAAGAGACTTTATGCTTATGAATGAGGATTTAGCAAAAGTCGAAGATTGATCTGACAAGTGGAAGCTTGACCTCAATATTAAAAAAAGTGTATCAATGTTCGTCACACGTTCTAATTTGACATGTAGATTACACTGCTCACTTCGAAGATTAAGTATCAACTGACAGAAAATGTTACTGACGAGGGAACATTTTTAAGTGCTCCCTCGCTTTTTCAACGAAACCTAGTGGGGTATGGGTTAGCGATGATGCTGATTCCGAATATGAACATGAGAGCTGCTTTTAGGGCTTCGAAGACCCGGTTTTCTGAAAAAAAACCAAAGCTTTTCTTAATGAGACCAACTGTACATGACCGTTTCTTTGCAAAGTTATAGAATTTACAAGAAAAGCCCTAAATATTCATTGTCAACTCAAAGCTACAGAAATAAGAAGAAATTAATTTAGGGCTTTTCTTGTAAATTTTATAACTTTGCATAGAAAGGTCATGTAGAGTTTGGAAAGGTCTCATTTTACTCAAAAATGTGCGGACCGCAAGCATGGCTCATTAAGAAAGGCTTTGGTTGTTTTTTCGAGTTTCTGAAAAACTAGCTTTCCAGAAAACCGGATCTTCGAAGCCCTAAGAGCAGCTCTCACATTCATATTCGGAATCAGCATCATCGATAACCTATAACCCACTAGGTTTCGTTGAAAAAGCGAATGGTTACCTAAGAACGTTCCCTTGTTAGCAGTTGGGTTTCCATAAATCCAGAATGTGATAAAGATGAAGGAAACCCACAAGATTTCAGTAGATCTTTAACTCGGCTATATGGCCTAAACACTTTAACTCTCAACGACTGAAAAAGCATTTGGATGGTTTAAGAGTGAATCCCTCTGTGTTCCGATTCAAGACAGTGTCGATGTCAATCAGATGTTCGAAAGTTGATGAATAAATTATGACATCATCTAGGTACACCATGCAACAACTCCATTTCAGATCTCGAAGAACAACAAGGTCCATGAGGAGCTAAAACGTAGCTGGTGCGTTACTGAGTCCAGAAGGCATTACTTTAAATTGAAAAATACCCCCATGGGTAACAAAAGCTGTCTTTTCTTTGTTACACTCATCTAGTTCAACTTGCCAACAGCCCGAGCAGAGATCGAGAATACCGAAATACTTAGCGAATTAGGTGAATTAGATGGTCCTTCTTTCGAGTCGGAGTTAAAATACTGCGACTTCCTTATTGACACTCATATACTACCAAATCTCCCGCTATGCCTGACAGTAGAGATGCAGTCTGTCCACATCGCAATTTGTGCGTAGCGTAATTGCAATCTAGCCTTTTCAGTATTTTGATGCCATTTATACCATCGAACATGTTTTCTTAATGTTTTTCGAGTTAATTTATCAACACATGCAAACTCGTATTCTATAGACGTACATTGTTCATTACGTCTCATATGTCCACGAACATGTTTAACATTAATTTGACACTTACATTGTTTCAACTCTCTGAAAAATGCGGGATAAATATATTTATCATGCCGTTTCGGAAGTGGCGCTGTTATTAATTGTTCAACTTTTGAATTGTCTGTACAGATAAGAACACAATATCACTTGATAATGTATGTATATATTTGATTTTACTTAATAAAAGTGTAACGGCTTGTACTTCACAGGCAGTACTGTTAGAAAAATACTTATACTTTTTTGTACATGGTCGAAAAGTTTGACCAGCATAACCACAAATACCAATTTTTGATCGATGACAATAACTTCCATCACAATAGTAAACATAAAGCGTTTGTTCTTTAATAATATCTTTACGACTGAGAGAAAGAAATATCAAGGGGCAGATGTCTATATAAAAATATTTTTCTTGTTGATAATGTCTAACAGTAAGTGTGACAAAAGCTAATGATGTGACGGTATTGTGAACACAATCAAAACTTACCAATACGAAGAACGTTATATCAAAATTATAAACGATATTTTTATAATAAATTAGAATTTGCATATGTATTTGATAGATAACTGTGTACTGAGTTACACATTTGGGATATTTTAACTGCATACAAGAAGCAACACTTTTGTGTTTACTCAAACAGTACGTAATTACAAATATTGCAATCAAACATATTATTAAGATTATAACCAAATATATTATTGGAAAAATAGCAACAACATTAACATGATTAATTACCAAATTGTATCCATCTATTTGGCAGGGAGAATATACATGAAACATAGTTTATTACTCTCAGATTTGTTCACTGGAAAAACAGAATCATTGTGTTCTTATATGTGTTATTTCCTTTAAATATTTAAGTAAAAATATTTGTTTTTTATGGAACTGTGAAACATAAAAATTTTATTATATGATACCCGGAAGACTTATATTTGCTTTTATTTATGTGTAGAATGTGTAAAAGCAAACAAATCATATGAAATAATAGTGTACTAATTTTATTATTCTTCATTTTTAAATTCTTTCTTTTCTTCTGCAAGTATATGCATATATATATATATAGGAATTTGCTGTAAAAACATGAAAAAATATGCTTTTATGTCATACTGCACAATGACAAGTGAAAGTTTTTCAACCATCTACAAGAATCTGGATAAATAAACTACATTTTTTCTTCAATTCTTTTTCACTGCGCAAAAAATAGTAAATGTAAGGTGCTCGTAATTCAAAACTTAAGCAAAATGTTGTTTTGCGATATTTATACATGGTTATAGAGCTGGTCGAGCTGAACAAGAATATGTAGATTTTAACCTTTCGAATGAAAATTTTGATGTCCAAAATGTTAAAAAACTGAAAATTTTATAATTATAAAAAAGCGGCTTTTTAATTATATAAAAACGAACGTAAAACTTGAACACAGTATATTTGGGAATCTTGGGAGCTTTTTCTTCTTATTCTCCGTAAAAGACTGAGTCTGAAAAACAGTTTTTTGATACTGTTCAAGTATGATATGGCCTAAAAAAGTTTAGTTTTTCACCAATAGCCAAAAATCCCGTTCATGTTGGCGTCAAAAGCTTCAAGTCTCTCTAGATAGGAGATGAAGCCAATATTTTTATATCACTCTACTCGCCATAATTGCACCAAAAAAGTTACGTGTCGGTTTTGGAAAATATTGTTCCGTTGTTCAGAAAATTAATTCTCTTGAAACAGATAGCAAAAAACAAGAACATTCATTTGTACTTTGTAGGTTTTACTGTCAAATTTCCGTTGTTTGCAAAACCAATGTCATATTTGGAATCAGCATCAAAAACTGACTTGATTGATGTGTGTCTCAGGAGTTTTGGGCAACTTTCATTGTTTTCGAACTTTTCCGCAAAAATCTCGGTTGCGGAAAAGTTTGGGAAAACTCTTTGTAAGATGCGTTAAGTGTACTTTCCTAAATCTTTTCTTCGTTCGGTATGGTTTCAGTTTTCCAAATGCTTTACGCGTTTTATTAAAAACGTAAAATAAATTTACTTTAATAAATATTCAAATTTCCTTCTTTTCTTACTTTTACATCGCGGACAGTTTGCCCGAGCTAGTTGCCGTTACACGTTTTAAAATCGTATTAATAGATCACCTCTTCAAATCCTGTTGTCCACAAAATGTTCTTTTACTTTTTGCGTCCTGTTACACGTTGTTTTATCTTTAGTACAGTTAGTTTAAACTTGTTTGGTCTATTGTACATTTTGAATGATGATGTGAAAAGGGTTTCACGAACCGTCTCTAGTAAACTATGCTTAAATCGGTGTCTATAAGTCTATTACTCTTTGTCAAACGTATTTACCGTATTATCAAGAAACGAAATGATTGAGTGTTTATGATGTATGTTATAGAAGCAGAAGAAAAAGGATCGAGAAAGACAAGCTTCTGTCCAGGTCGTATATAATTCCAACGGGGAGTAAGATTAGCAACCATCAGGCTAGAAATACTTTTAACAACTGTGATGATACTATTAGCTGGCGAAAGTCGAGAACCAACAGAGGTCGTGGTCGCTTCCCACTTTTGATCACTTCTTTCCGGCGGTGTTTTCACAGTTACAAAAGTTTGATGGAATGGGGAATTCGTTTTTTCTCAACAGCACAAACTGGTATATCTAATCGACCGCCCTGCTGAAGACTAGTAGAGAGCAAAAATTTGGACAACGGTTTATTACTCACCCAATATTTTTCGTCTTGAATATCCATCACCAATTCAACCTCAAACATAAAATCAGTTCCTAATAACACTTTTTGACTGACTTTACGGGCGAGGATCTCCGAATGTCTAAAAGTTCGACCTGTAAAGTGATATCAGCATCGACTCAGCCGACTGGTTCAATGGAACTGCTTTCAGGCTCAACAATATCATTATCTGAATAAGGAAAGATAGCTTCTGTTCCTTGTAAAAGACGCCAGTAATCAAGACTAACAATACTAACACCAGCACCAGTATCAAGAATGAAAATTCCTATAGTCCCGAGTAAGTTTCCTTTAGCTGTAGCACACTCTCTTTTGATGGTATAACAACAAGGCGAGGAATTTGAAAACGTAGTGCCTTCTTTTATTTTACTTGCTAATTTCAAAGTCGTGGTTGCAAAACCGATGAATCAGACTTTAATAGAGTCTTTGTTTTTTCTTTAGCGTTTTCATTCTTTTCTAATTTTTTGATTTTCTTTTTCTTATCCTTTATCCTCGTTCGAGCCAATTTTTCAGATGAAACGTTTTCTTCATTTGATATTGTTACAGTTTTTACTGTTGTTGGTGGAATTATTTTATCATTAGAGACAGAGGACGAAGGAGAAGAAGTTCGAGATAAATTAGATTTGAGTGATCTTTCGACTGAAGACGCTCCTATTAATGACTGATCGGATTCAGCTTCTTGTTTAGGAGTGACTGGTATTAATACTGATTGACTAGTCGGAGTTTCCAACGAAAAAGATGAAGAGGATACTGTGACGCTTTTATATCACGTAATTGTTTAGATGCCTTATTGACTTTTCCTTACGTTGACTGCAGGCGGTCTTTTATTTAATAATCAAAAGTAGGAATCAATGTAATATACATTTCCACTAATATATCGAACTATACTACATACTATTTTCAACACGAGAACATCGAAAAAGAAAAAGAGAGAAGAAGAAATAGAGAAATGAAACTATGTGAGTAATGAGTATTGGCTGATTGGTTCTTGTAGTGATTGACAATTGGTCCTTTACATGCCACTAATACAAAGCTTGACAAAAACGCAAACCAAAGTGCATAGAACGAGAATAGAATTTGGGGATGATCAGTCTGGCCGGAAGACCTTTAGCTTTTTTTCCATAAAATCTTAATAGTACATTCGGAAGACATGATTTTTTTATCATTTATAGTACTCATCTAGAGTGAACGATTTACCATCATTT